CACCTTCTCCCAGCTGGCTTGTCCCCATGTCTGTAACATGAAAATAGGCAGGGTGATCTACTCAAGCTCTCAAAATGCTTGTTCTGTAAGAAACCAATTCTGTCTACACTTCAGCCCAGAACTCTGTGCACAGTGGCTGAGGATTGGGTTTGCTTTATGTTCACACATCCTGAGAGCAAACACTCCCAAATGCCAACACACACCCTAGCCAGTACTGACTTCTGGCTGACAGCAGGCCCACTGCCCTGTACTGGAGCAATCTGCTGAGTTCCAGGACTGCTCAGCTCCACTCTGCTGTGACTCCATCAAGTCACAGACCATAGACAAAGCCACCAAAACAAGAGGAACTGCTCAGCAGGCAGATCATNAAGAAAAAAAAAAAAAAAAAAAAAAAAGAGATAAAGTAAATGTGGCAGAATGTGAACAATTTCTGGATCTAGGTGGAGGGCAGACAGTTATTTACTCTATTACTGTCTATCTTTTCCATACATTTGACATTTTTAAAAATAAAACCTGGAATAGGGTGGGAGGAGGTAATCCCAGGAATGGCTGTCCCAACCTGAGTGTGTCTGCACAGAACACACAGGGAGGCCAGTTCACCACGGGAGACAACACCAGGGACTACTTGAGATTAAGGTTTCAAAGCTGGGTACACTCATCTGCGATGTTACTTTGAGCCTCAGGAAAAAAGCTACCATTTCTCAACACCAGCAGTGTTTTTGTGAAACACTGACACCTTCTCCCAGCTGGCTTGTCCCCATGTCTGTAACATGAAAATAGGCAGGGTGATCTACTCAAGCTCTCAAAATGCTTGTTCTGTAAGAAACCAATTCTGTCTACACTTCAGCCCAGAACTCTGTGCACAGTGGCTGAGGATTGGGTTTGCTTTATGTTCACACATCCTGAGAGCAAACACTCCCAAATGCCAACACACACCCTAGCCAGTACTGACTTCTGGCTGACAGCAGGCCCACTGCCCTGTACTGGAGCAATCTGCTGAGTTCCAGGACTGCTCAGCTCCACTCTGCTGTGACTCCATCAAGTCACAGACCATAGACAAAGCCACCAAAACAAGAGGAACTGCTCAGCAGGCAGATCATAACAAAGCCCCCTCGTTTAAAGCACTTCTTTCTACTCGGACACCTGGTGCCTTTCATTGACATCCCAGAAAACCCAGAGTGGGGAGTCCCTGTATAAGCTTGCCTCTGAGTCTGTTCAGCCTTCCTAGCTGGAGCCCCTGGAAGGCTCAACAACTTAACAAGGTGATGCTGACACTGGGACATGGCCGGGGGCAGAGGCCTGTAACAATCTGTTTGTTTAGGGGGCTTGAAGCATCAGCTACCTATATCACCTGGCACAGACTCTCAACTGCCTGGACTGAGACTGTCTGGAAAATCCCACACGGTAAGCCAAGCGCCAGGATGAGAAATCCTTTTGAGAATCAAAATCCTCCCCCGAGACATAAATATATATGAAAAGTCTTCCTTTAGGACAAAATCCTCCAGGATAAAAAAACACAAGCAACTTGTAAATAGAGAAAAAAGTGATTTTCTGGGTAGGAAAAAAAACATAAAGACAATGATCTGGGGAGTCACTGAAATCGGGTACGCAGAGTGATGAGAACTACCCCACAGCCTATCTGGCAGAGAAGTGGGCCCTAGTATAGAACAGAGCTGGTCCAACAGGAACAAGGAACAGCACCTGCTCTTGGAACTAGGGGGAGTGTCAGGGATGAGAGGCACTGGGCTCACAGCCTGGGGGAGGAAGGCACCGGAAGGGAAAAAACAGACTAGCAGAGACAGGGACTGTTCGCTCAAACTGCTCAGAGAAGATTGATATTTAAAATAGGCTTGACGATTAATGCTGGAACTGATGAAGGATGGAATGGCCTCATCTTAACAAACAAGACCTCCCTCAGGGCCTGCAGGGTGGACACTCTTGTCATAGGAGCCTGACAGCTGTGCCAGACGGAGGAAACGACGCTGTGACCAGAAGACTAAAAGCCAGACAGCTCACAAGTGTACTTCTGAGCCCCTCCCCCCCTCTTCTCCCCAGCAGTCATTCCAAACGTAAAGCAGCCCCTTGGAGTTCCTCCTCTCCCCAGCAGTGCAAGATGGAAGAGCCCCCACAGGTGTATTTCAACAGAACCAAGTTTAAGAGGTAAGAAAGGAACTTCCCTGACTTGATCCCAGTCGGTAGAATCCTCCTGGGCCTGCTGTCTGCTTCTAGGTAGGGGCCTAAGGCTCTGGCTCTCATCTCCATTTCTTTTTTTTTTTTTTTTTTTT